TCTAAAGTAAGGATTGCAGGAGTTGGAGATGTTTGAGGTCTCAGGCATCCCCGGGGAACCAAGAATGCTTTCCCAGAGAATAAGGAGGATTGCTGGGGACTGCCATAATGTGGTCATTGCTCTCATCTGGCAACAATAGAATGTCTTCCTGGGGCCACTCTGACCTTCCAGTGCCCTTGCCAGCTCAGAGTCCTGTAACAGTGTGGAGGTTAACTTGTCAGTCACTTCACTGGAGGGCTGTGGTGTGTAGAGTGTCTGGAACAGTGAGGACACAAGGAGGAGCTGTGACCAGTCAGAGAGACCAGCAGTAGTCTAAGCAACGTCCTGGAGCACCCGTGGCTGGTATGCCAGAGACCTGTTCCTCTTGGGCATCCGGCTCACCCAGGGGCCTGTGTGAGAAGGATATGGAGAAGGGATCTCCAAAAGGTACCCTGGGAGAGAGAACTTTGCCGAACGGGCCTCTACCCCAAAGGCCCTGTCTATGTGAAGTCAAGGCACACGTTTTCTAAAAATTAAAGATTCTGTCTGTGTGTGTGTGTGTGTGTGTGTGGTATATGTGTGTGCACATTTGCAAGTGTGCCTGTGTGTGGAGGCCATAGGTCAGTGGTGGGCGTCTTCCTCTTTCTCTCTCCCCACCTTATGTTTTGAGACACAGTCTCTCACGGACCCTGGAGCTCACCAATTCAGCTGGCCCCAGGGACCTTCCCGTCTTCTCTTCCCCAGAGCTGGAAATACAGTACATGTGTAGCTGCACCCAGATTCTTAGATAGGCCTTGGGAATCAAGCTCAGGTCCTCGTGCTTGGGAAGCAAGCAAGGCTGGCCCAGCCCCCAGGTCCCTGGGCATGTGTCCTCCTGTCCCGGGAACATGCTTGCCTTGCACGTGGGCTGCCTCAGTGACTGCGTTCCTGTTCTCTTTCCTACCTTCCCACTTAGCGTTCCACTTTGAAGGTGCACGGGGGGCCCCACTTTCCATGCTGTGGGGTCCGTTAAGGGGTGTGCCTCTGGAGCTGCAGACAGGGCAGAAAGGGAGCTGTGGCCACCTGGGTCTGGATGGCAAGGGGTAGCCACGGGGAGCCAACAATGGCTATGACAGGAGGAGGGAGAGTGAGGGACGGGAACGGTGGCCGTGGAAAAAGGAGGACAGCCACAGTATCCCAGAGGGGAGGAGGGCAACAAGGGAGGAGTGGACACCCTGGCCTCTCTGTCCCTCCCTTTGACTAGACAGGAAGCTGGAGAACCAAGATGGAGTCTCAGCAGAGTCCAGCCTCCCTGGCATAGAGCAGCACAGCTGGGGACGGACAGCCAGACAGTAACTCCCACAGGGACCCCACCAACCCGCAGACCAGCCCTGTGCTCCCTGGGTGTGGAGTGCATGTCAGCTGCATGGGGTGCCCTGCAGCGTGGCAGCTTCAGGACACACTGGATGGGGTTGTCCTCACATGATGCTCTTCTAGCCTGTGTCCTATCTACACCTCACCTCTGGAGGGTGGGGCTCACAGGGGAAACTCTGGGAGACCCTGGCCAGGTGTGGTTGAGACCTTACTCTGGGGCACTTCATCCATTGGTGTTGAGACAACTGGGCAGGCTTGTGAAGGCCCCTGAGGGCCTGTGGGATTCACTGGAGGTTTGTAGAGACTGGAGGCTGCTTGGAGCTTCCTTTCCTTCCTGCTCTCACCTTCTGGAGGGTCGAGGGTTGTTTTTAACAAAATCTCAGTCGTTCAACTCTACCCATGAAGACCCGGGAGCCAGATGCTAGGGTGAAAGCCCGCTAACTCAGAGAGGCAGAAAGAGCATTCAGCCGACCTTCCTTCTCACCTAGGTCCCTGAAACCTCCCGCCTTCCCTGTGCGGTCTCAAACCAAACTCCTCCAACCGAGTGTCCCTCCCTTCTACTTCCTGCGTGTCTCTCTATCTGTCCTCTTGACTCCCTCTTACTCTCTATGGTTTTCCCGTATGTTTACCTCCTGTCAACTGGTTTCATGCTGCCTCTTGACTCATGGTTGACTTTATTTGGTCCTGTTTACAGTATTGAATCAGAAAGCTCTTGGGTGAAAGGTGTGTGCTAGGGCTGAGCCACAGACCAACTAGAAACAGGTTTTTGCAGTAAATAATGCAATCTCGGGGTTCCCAGTGTGATCAAATGTCCTCCAACAGGCGAGGACTGAGTCAGTTGGAGTGAGCCCCAGGGCTCCAAAGATCCCTCAGATTCTGAACTTGGCATGGACACAGGCTCTGTCTTTCAATGTCATTTTTACGGTATGCCTCCTGGCTTCCTAAGCTCTTCCTAGCCCAAACAGGGCTTCACATCCCCCAGTACATCCATGGCCCTCCATCTGTCGTTTCCCGCTTCTCCTCCTTTCCCTGCCTGACCAGATTCTGTATGTCTACACATGGGCTTGATCTGCACAAGTCCCGCCCCCCCCCCGCCGCCGCCCCATCTCCCTTGTTCCGTGGGCCACCCCACACTCTGTACTCTCTGTCCTCATACTGCATCAACACAAGGTGTCCACAGGGTCGGCGCCAGGCCCCTGGGCTGCCAGGCATCCCGCAGGTCCCTCACTCGGCAGAAACCTGTCTGCTTTCACTGCTCCTTTCCTTTCTCACCTGTGGCCAGCCCCCGCTCCCCTCCCCATCCTCCTTCCCGCCCGAGTTCCTCCCTGTCTTCTTCTGCTCCTGCCTCAGGTCTGTGCATTTGCTGCCCCTGGCCCAACGCACTTGGGCCTCCTCAAGTCATCCGGCCTCGGTCAAATGCCACCCCCTGGAAGATGCCTTTCCTGAGTCCCCAGGATAGCAGACTTCCCAACCCAACCCTTCCCAGTTTACTGTTTCACGGAGCCACAAGTGCCTGGAACAGGTGGGCATGTACCATTTACCCCAGGGCCACCAGCCCAGGGAGGTCAGCCAGCTGGCCCATCTTACTGGCTGACAAATACCAGTCCCTGGACGCACCTAGCACAGATTCCTGCCAGCTGCTGGTGACCACCTGCCGCCATTATTCCATTGCTGACTTCCGGGCTCAGGCCATGCCGACAGGCCCTACTTACCCTGCCTGGGTTTGGGTGGGAGCTGGGCAGCCCAAGCATGTCCATTCTCCAGAAAGCTCATCTCTCTCTCTCTCTCTCTCTCTCTCTCTCTCTCTCTCTCTCTCTCTCTCTCTCTCCCTCTCTCCTCTTTCTCACCCCAGATCTTTAAGAAGTTACTGTCTATCTTAATGTTTAAAGTGAGAGTTGGGTATGGTGGTCTAGACCTGTTACCCTAGTACTTGGGATGCTGAGGAAGGAGGATTCTCTTTTGCTCAAGGGCAGCCACTATTACAATGTGAGACCTGTCTATAAATAAATAAATGAATAAATAAATAAAATCTTCCCCTAAAACAAATTGACATATATTGAGACCCAGGGACTATACTTTGTTGTATTTTCTAAACGATAAAAAGCAGGGCTGGGCTTACCCAGTCAGTGAGGCAGGCACCAGGACCTGGACTCAATCCCTAGAACCCATGTAAAATGCTGGGCATGGTGCCATGTGCCTGTAATCACAGCTCTGGAGAGACAGAAGGAAGGAGCCCTGGAGTTCACTGGCCAGCTGGTCTAACATAATGGTTGAGCTCCAGGCCAGTGAGGGACCCTGTCTCAAAGGAGGTGGACAGTGTTTCTGAGGACAAAACCTGAGGTTATTCTTTGACATTACACACATGCACACAGGCACACTCACTCACACATATACACATATGCACACATTGCTTCCCCTGAAACACATGCATACATACCCACATACATTCACGAGTGCAACCCCCTCCCCCTACACACACACCAGGTACCATCAGAACTGATAGTGTGAGAGTCCCTGTTCATGACTTCAGGGGATTGTGCTGTCCAGGGTCTAGCCTGATGCTGAGTCACTGGGCCTGTGGGTATCTGTACCTTTTGCAGGAGCGAGGATTGGTGGAAAGATGGCGTTTGAGTGGCTGTGGAGGACTTTGAGGAGAACAGGGAGCAGGAAGGGGGAGGCTCCTGGAAGCATTCGTGATTGGTGGGAGGAACCCCACTAGTACTGGGCATAGTGTGGGTACTGGTGATGGAAGCCAGACAGCAGGGAAGTGGCTGGCGCCTGGATCACTCTGGCATCCTAGGGAAAGGCAGGGAGGCACAGTGGGGAGATGGCTAATCTGGGTACGAGGCAGGGCAAGTGGTGTGGCTTGGTGCAGCAGAGCAGAGGAGAGCTGACCTTAGGGATGGACAGGACAGAGACAGCGAGGCGCTGTGATGAGGTGGCGGGAGCATCCAAGGTTGACCTTGGAGTTCCAGGGTCTCGTGAGGTAGATGGTCTTGAGCTCTGGAGTTTGAAGTGGGGATGCAATATACACAGGATTGGATGGCTGTGCCAGAGCCCAGAGGGGGCCTGTTCCTGTCCTGTGCCCCTCACCACATCCCCTGGCTGGCAGCCATGACTGGGAACCCAGCCAAGTGTTTGGAGGAGGGAAACTGTTCTAGTGGCTGTATGCAGACGTGGGCATGGGAGTGTGTGTGCAGGATGACCCACGGGTGTGTCTGGGTGACGGGGCAGGGTGAGACCACAGTGCTGGACTGAGTGAGCATGTACTCATGTGTACTTGCTTGCTTTTTACATTACTCTGTGTGTGTGTGTGTGGTGTGTGTGTGTGTGTGTGTGTGTGTGTGTGTGTGTGTGTGTGTGTGTGTGACTGTGGGCTAGATGACGCAGAGGGCTCACGTCACCTCGAGCACAAAGATGTGGGGCCGCATTGCTGACCTGCTTCAGCGTCCGTGGCACCTGAGTGACACATGCTCAGGTGCCTGCATCTTCCCTGCTGTGGCTGTCTGTGAGAGAGAGAGAACGAGGGCTGAAGGATGCATGAATGTGGGGAGAGGGGCATGCCTGGAGGTGGAGGTGGCTGTGTGCGTTGTGTACACACGCTGGGGCGTGCACCTCATCGCTCTGTGTGTCCCTTGGTGTGACAGGCTTCCTCTCCATCCTTCCAGGGCCTCTCAAGACATGATGCTGCTCCAGGAGTCTGCAGGAGCATGGCTGGCATTGGCCCTGGTCACAGCCCTGACTCTAAGCCCGGGCATGGCAGTCCCGTATCAGGACTGCACAGGCGCGGAGTGCCCACCCCTGGAGAACTGCATCGAGGAGGCACTGGAGCCAGGAGCCTGCTGTGCCACCTGTGTGCAGCAGGGCTGTGCCTGTGAAGGCTACCAGTACTACGACTGCGTCGTACATGGAGGTTTCGCGGATGGCCGTGTGCCTGCCGGCCAGTCCTACTTTGTGGACTTCGGTAGCACCGAGTGCTCCTGCCCGCCGGGGGGCGGCAAGATCACCTGCCAGTTTATGCTGTGTCCTGAGCTGCCACCCAACTGCATCGAGGCTGTGGAGGTAGCTGACAGCTGTCCTCAGTGTGGCCAGGTGGGCTGTGTCCACAGTGGCCGTAAGTATGCCGCTGGCCACACCGTCCACCTCTCGCCCTGCCGGGCCTGCCACTGCCCGGATGCTGGCGGTGAGCTCATTTGCTACCAGCTCCCTGGTTGCCAAGGGAACTTCTCAGATGCAGAGGAGGGTGACTCTGAGCGACAGTACGAAGACCCCTACAGCTATGACCAGGAGGTGGCCGAGGCAGAAACCACCGTGGCCACGGTGAACGAGATCCAGGCAGGTGCAGAGGGCCCCCCAGCTGCTCTGGGAGGTGGGAACTTGCCACCGTCCTCCTTCAGAGCAACTCCCAGGCCAGCTGCCCTCCCCAGACCCACAGCAGCTGCTGCCCTGGGTCCCCCAGCTCCCATGCAGGCCAAAGCCAGGAGAGTGACACTGGACATGGATGAGGAAGAGGAGGAGCAAGTGGAGGAGATGGAAGCCACTGAGCCACCAGCAGCAGGTGGCCCTGGGAGGCTGAACAGCTTGCCTGCCACACCCCCGGCCATCCCTGACCTCCCTGGCCGAGAGAAGGAGGCTGAAGCCAAGGCAGGGCTGGAAGAGAACTTTATTCCTGATGTCCAGGCCACTCCTCCCAGCGCAGGGCCGGAGAGGGCTGCACCCCTGCCTAGGTTAGGCCCGGCTGGTCTCATTCCGTCTCTGACCACAGTCAGCTCTCCTGGGGACCCAGTGAAGTCCAGCAGCCACCCCATCCTATCCACACGGCCGCCTGACAGAGCCCAGGTCACACCCTCCCCAGAGGTGCCTGAAGAACTACCCCTCCATCCGCGGTCGCGACCTCCATCCCAGGCAGAAGAGGACACGGACCCCAACTCAGTACATTCTGTCCCCAGAGGTGGTCCTGATGGTAAGGCCCTTTCCTGTGTCCCCGCAGGGCCACTGAGCCTGGAAGGAACTGTTGCTTCCTATGGGTTCCTCACAGGCCTGAGACAAAGTGGTGTGGGTTGGTGGAGGTTCCCATGGTGCTTTCTTGAAGGCCTAAGACAGAATGGCATTGGCCAGGGGAGTTCTCAGCGCTGCCCTCTCATAGGCCTGAGACCAAGGGGTACAGAGAGGTCCTTGTCTAGGAGTACAGGGCCCTTGGTGGGCTCTGACTGAGGGCACAGAAGGTTTTCTTCATCAGAATAGATTACGATCCTGCCTACTGGAGTCTAGGGGTGTCTTAGCAGGAGTCACAGGGCTCTGCAGATCTGGTCAACTGTCCATGAATGTCCTCCTCCAGAGGCCCAGCGGTAGGCTGGTGGCAGAGGGGACATGTTCTATTGTGGCTCTAACTCTGCTGCTCCTTCCAGCCAGGAGTCTGGTTAACATGTCAGCCCCTCAGTGCTGCTACAGTGGCTCACGCCTTACACAAAGTAGAAGCTAAAGTCCTTGTGGTGTCCATGTGTCCTTTTCAGCTGCCCAGTGGCCTCCCCCCTCCTCCTCTGACCCCTTACACTCTCATAGTCGGCTTAGGCCCACTGGTTTCTTGGCCAGGCAGCCTCCGGCCCTGGGACCTTTGCACTTAACGCTGCTTCTGTCCGAGATGATCTTCCAGGTGTCTGGATGACATAGTCCTTTGCTCTGTGACAGGTCACTTCCTCAGGGTGCCTTCTCTGCCACCTGCCTGCCTTCTGGTAGCTTTGACCTCGCTCAGCCAAAGCTGACATTATAGACATAATGACTTGGGTCCTTGCTTATGGTTTTCTGATGTTTAGCATTTCACCAGTCAGATCTGGTGCTGAGCCCAAGGGCTCCAGGACCACCTGTACATAGTTGGCACTCTATAAATGTGGGGTGATGGATGGAACCGGTGGGAGACCACTGTCTACCTCCTCTCTTCCTCGTTCTTCTTCACCCCTGTTGACTCAGTGTCTCCCTGAGAATCTGATCTCCCCGCTGTTCTCAGTGTTTGCTAACAGCATCGTTCCCAGCGCAGACAGCACCTCCCCCAGGAAGTCTTCCCTGAACAGTTGCGTCTTGTCTCCCTCCAACCCACCAATTCTATTCTCTCCCCCTTTTCTTTACAAAGGTGCCTGGGACACTGTGTGGTCTCTAGAAGCTTTCCCCATGGCCAGAGCCTGTGTCTTGATCAGTCCCATACTGTAGGGTTGTTTGTGAGCAGGCCTTGATGGCTCTGGGAAGACAGGAATGGGCTGGTGTGGCGCTGGGCCCCAGGCTTTGAGGGATGGATGTAAGGGGAGGGTCTGGGAAGGCTTTCAGGCAGAGTGGATGTGAGGAGCTCTGAGACAGTCACCTTGTGACCACGTTCCTATCCTGTGGCTTCAAGCTTTGTGGCTGTGAGTGGGCTTTTCACCTGCCTGGTGTCTGCCCATCTATGATGTATCCCATGGCACTTGCTGGGCATGGGCTGTGTTTGGAACCTGTATATGGGCAGCAAGGGTGCCATTGGGGGCTGTGAGGCTCCTCAGGCCTGTGGTCCTCATACCACCAGTACCTCTGTTTCCAGCCTGCTTTCCTTCCCGTGGCTCCCTGCTCCCAGCCTGCTAGGGAGGTGTGGCTGTAGAGGAGGCCTGTAACTGACTGGGACTGGAGCCCAGGCTGTTCTCAGCCCTGAGCCTGGAAGTGCAGGGGGCAGGGAAGGTTTAATGAAGTGCACGTGTGTGGGAGGGCTCAGTGCCCTTAGCCTGCAGCCTCCAGGTTTCCAGAATAGGAACAGCCCTGGCTTTCCACAGTGGCTCCGTGGGATCTGGGACCAGCTTTGCTCACCTGGTGGATCTTCCTGCCTGGCCTTCTCAGCTGTGTTTGGGCTGAGGCATTGATGAAAGCTGCCACCGCCGGAGACTAGGCCTGGAGTACCCTCATCTACTGCAGGGCCATCCCAGCAGGGGCCCAGCTCATGCAAAGGCCCAGAAGAGTATAGTCAGCAGGGCCAGGCTGGTACTGCAGCTTCAGCTAGGGAGGAAGGAGTAGGTTTAAAACAGGACCCAGAAGTCTGGGCCTGACCAGATTCTCAGTCTTTGCTCACCATGGGCAAATGGCTTGGCCCTTTATGCCTCAGTTTCTCCATCTTCAGACAGCGTAGAAGCCCTGCTCCTATGTGGAGCTCCTCGGTGGCTGCAGTCTGCGGCATGGCGCGGAGTGTTCACCGAGCATTAGGAGATGTTACTGACTTTACTCTCATCTGTTCTTCAGCCACAGCTCTCTTCCTCAGCAGGCATTTGTGGGGCCCTGTCTATGTCAGGGGCAGGGCTAGAGAACAAGGCGGGCCCAGCCATCCCCTCGGGGGCCTAATGAGTGGAGTGCATTAAGCAGATAAAGGCGCAGGCAGCGGGGCATGCAGCTGGTGAGGGTGGGCGACAGCAGGCCTCGTGGGTGGGGCTCTGGTGGCCTGCCAAGCATCTGAGGGAAGCTGAGTCTGAAACTTAGGGTCTCCAGGCTGCTATTGGAGGGGAGTTTGGGGCCACGGGCAGGGGAGAAGCTGGGAGAGACAGCTTTGCCCTTCTCAACCTTCTAGGTTTACTGAGAGGCATGCCGGAAATGACCCCGGCCCTGTTGCCATGGCAGCCCTGGGGCCTGGAGAAGGTGGTTTCTATCCATCGTCTGAGCCCTACCGGGGCGGGGGTCCTGCCTGGGAGTCAGAATTGTACCAGGGATCCCCACTGCCTCAGCTGGGCTGTCCCTGCCTCTGAGCATGTCCAGATGTAGTCTAAATAGAAGCCACATGCCTGCCTCTCTGGGCCGTGGAGAGGGGCTCTGATGTCTGTTTCTGCTGTTACTCAAGGGACTTTGGGAGGGTGCTGTGTCTGCTGGCCTGGCATAGCAGAGGGAGCTGTAGAAACAGCAGGGGGTGGCCTTGGCCTTGAAGAGACCGTCAGAAATTTGAGCGGGAAGGGGCCCCTTTCCTTGGGTCCTCACTCTGCAGGGCAGGTGTCTATACTGACACTCCAGTTCAGGTGCTGGCTCCTACCTGTCCCAGGCACTGTCCTCTGGGCACTAGTATGTGAACTCAGTGATTATTAAGCCCCTTTGTCCCCACCCAAGCCCAGAGGGTTCTACAGAGCTCTATTCTGGCCTGTGGACATGGTGACAGGAAACGGCAGAATCAGGATCATCTTGAAGTCTGCATTGCCGTGTCCTGTGACCCTCTTCTGAGACCTGGTCACCTTCACTGAGGTAGATACTAATTCTCTGCTCTTGGGGAGCGCTGGGTGACTGTCAGAAGCTCAGTCGTCACAGATGTGATGGCCTCGGTGAGGGGAAGCTGGGCATGAGGCGGCGGTGTCCTGGGCCCGTCTAGGGGGCTCTGACTTCTCTTGTGGGTCAGGGAGGCTTGCTGGGGGCGGGGGGAGTGCCTGTGCTTAGTGTTGTGGCCACTGGAGGACTGTGAGAGGAGGAACTCCCGGCAGGGCGAGTGTCTATAAAGTTCCTGCAGCCAATAGGGATGACATTTGATTAAGAAGGCATCCTTCAGCTGATATGAGGGAGAGTTGTTGGTGCAGGGGCGGGAACCAAACCCAGGGCACCGTGCCTATCCTCGGGTGCAGATCCAGGCCTGGTGGGGCATAGCTATAATCCGTTACTTGGGAGGCTGGGACAGTGGGGCTACAAGATCATGGCCAGCCAGGGCAATGTATTGAGACTCCGTCTCAAAAGGAAAAGCAAGCAACAGAAGAGCGCAGGGTATAGCTTGGTGGCAGAGTGCAGCCGAGCATGTGCAGGGCCGCCTGTCCTCGGCACTCCGCTTACCAAAAAGGTTTGGGCCTGCCTTAGCCCACAGGGGTTTTAAACCTGTGAGGTGTCACGGAAGTCACAAGGATGACGGGCTGTGGATGATTTGTCCCCTTCAGAAACTTGGGGCTCTGCCGATCCCATTCCCCACTACTGCCAGCTCACAGGGCCTGGAAGTGCCAGGGCTGCTGGGGTGGTGGTGGTGTGGAGAGCAGCCTGGGGCTTCCCCAACTGCTGCAGCCTGGGGCTTCCCCAACTGCTGCAGCCTCCGATGTCCTCAGCAAGGCCCCGTCTGCGGCTCATCAGCTGTAGTGAGTGTGCTGACCTTCCTGTCAGAGCTTTGGAGACACAGGGGACCTCATGGTCCGTGCTTCCCCCGGCGTTGGTTACTAAACATCTGAGAAAAGAATTGGAACTGAACTGTATGGAACGTGCAGTTTGGTCTTTATGCCCTAAGCAACAGTGTCACAGATGGTCACACAGCATAGGGATGCGTGACTGTAGTCTAGAGACGATCTAGAGCCTACAATGGCTGTGCAGAGGCCAGGCTGGCTCGTGTACAGGCCTGGAGCACCTGCTGTCTGGGGGTTATGCTGGGGCCTCCTGGATCCAGCGCCCTTAGCATCCTTAGGGGAAGCTGAGCGATATGATTCTGGTGCTCTGCCTTTGTTTTGCGGACCTGCCATGCTGGCCCTTATTGGTCTACCTGTCAGCTTCTCTGCAGAGCATGCTGGGGATCATTAGAAATGGGAAGGCCTCCAGGAAACGACACTTCTGCTCGGTGTTGTTGAATGACAGGCAGGTACGGCCATGCTGGGCTCACACACCACTAAGCAGGCAAAAGGAAGCAGCCCTTCCCACGGGACAGACTGGTTGCTGCTAACCCTCTGTCTCAGCTCTGGTGTCACCGCCAGTGGTTGGCAGTTGGATTTGGGTCTGTTACTCCGGGTCACTGTTTGAAGCATGGAGTGAAACAGCTCTGAGAGAAATGATGGGGGACATCCCATTTAACGGAGAGCAGAAACTGTCATCCCAGGTTAGGGGGCTTTTGTGAAGGTCATAGCAGAGATGGTGACAAGCAGACCCTGCCTCCCTGTGGGAATCGTGGGCTCTAGTTCCCACGGAGGACTCACAGGTAGCTCACATGGGTTTCCTAGGCTGTCTCCTCCCTATAGG